CCTGCATTTAAAACAGTGGTAGCTGTGTGCTTGAGTCTCCCGGCAGATTGGTCCATGGGCTGGATCCAGTGGCTTGGCAGGCTGTATTTTGCCCAGGCCTGGTCTAGAGTATTGCCATTGCAGAGATTCCACAACCATCTACGCAATTTATTCCAGTGTTTAAACATCCTGACAATTAGGAAGTTTTTTCTAATATCTAACCTACCACTTCCATGCAAGAAGCCCATTGCTTCTTGTCCTGTCCTCAGAGTTTAAGGACAAGATTTTTTTTCTCTCCTGCTTGTAACAACCTTTTAGATACTTGAAAGCTCCTCTCAGTCTTCTCTTTTCCAAACTAAACAAACCTAAATCTTTCAATAATCTCTCATAGGTCATGTTTTCTGGACCTTTAATCATTTTTGTTGCTCTTCTTTGGACCCTTTCCAATTTATTCACATCTTTCCTGAAATGTGGTGCCCAGTTCTGGACACAGTACTCCAGTTTAGGTCTAATCAGCAGAGTAGAGCAGAAAAATTACCTCTCGTGTCTTGCTTATAACACTACTGTTCATACATTTCAGAATGATGTTTCCTTTTTTCCCCCAATAATGTCACACTGTTGATCCCTGTTTAACCTGTGGTCCACTATGATCCCAAATCCTTTCCCACAATATTCCTTTGTAAACAGTTGTTTCTCATTTTCTATATGGGAAACTAGTTGTCCTTATTGAATTTTATCCTATTTACCTCAGACCATTTCTCCAATTTGTCTAGAGAATTTTGAATTATAATCCTATCCTCCAAAGAACTTGCCACACATCCTAGTATGGTATCATCCACAAACTTAAAAGGAGTACTCTCTATGGCATTATCTAGAACACTGATGAAGATATCAAACAGAACTGATCCCTGCAGAACCTCACTTGTTATACCCAGCATGACTGTGAACCATTGATAATTACTTTTGAGGAATGGCTATACAACTGGTTACACACGCACTTTAAAGTACCATCTTTTTGTTGTATTTCCTTCTGTATCTTGCAACATTTAAATAAAGAACTACACCATCTGCTGTAGGGCCTGATTTATCTTTATCTTTGGAAAGATTTATTTGGCTTTATCAGAAATAGAAGTTTGGTACTATTATCTAGTGCAAACATGATTGGTTATGACATACGAAATTATGTCATAATGGAACCTTCAATTCAATACAATATATATCAGTGTTTCTTAAACTTTTCAAGACCGAGGAACACCAAACAATTTTTTTTATGAGGAATACCAAGGATTTTTTTAACACCTTCCCCCCCCACACACCAAAAAAAAAAGGTTGCCTGCCCCTTTAAGGGCAGACATTTTGAATTCTGTGGTTCTCCACGGCATACCTCCGACTGCCTTGTGGCACACCAGTGTGACCCGGAACACAGTTTAAGAAACACTGATATATATGGTAATGTATTAATGGTAACTACTATGGAAATTTGAAATACACACATACATATCAAATTTCCACAATAATTCCAATTAGATGCACATTGTCAAGGCTAATTTATTACCTTAAACATCAACTAATGGAACAATAAAATTAAGTAAATGTTACGAAGCATTACTTCCTTTTAAAACAAATAATTGAAGCAATATATGCAATCCCTCTTAACTAGGCAGATTCATGTTCATGAATGGCATTTCTGTTCAGATTGTTTTGTTTTCAATACAAAATGAAAATGGAATACATTCCGAATTTTTATTTGGCAGCTATTTGTAAGCAGTTATTTTAACTGTTTGCCAAACAATGCATCTCTCATTTGCATAATTCCTCCTAAATGCTGAAGACTAGAGGACTGGAAATTTAAAACAGTGTATTTCTAGATCAGACACACTGCAGTAGCACAGCTAGATTGTGGACACTTACTATAGTGACATAAGGGGTTCTTCCATAGCTGTAATAAATCCACCTCTCAGGGGTGGTAGCTAGGTCAATGGAATAATTCTTCTGTCTGCATAGCAGTGTTTATACTGGGGCTTTGAACCTTGGATGTCCTAAATGATGTAGTTAGGCTGACTTACATTCTAGGTCTAGGGTAGGCCACAGTCACTAGTTTGATGGCTCTGACTAAGTTCCTAGTCTAGTCCATATTGTACATCCAAAGGACATAATAATTGGCAACTAGATCTGCATTTGGGAGGGGAAGAGAGGTGGTTTGTTTGCTTATAACACTAGACTTGTTTCTCTAATATTCTAGGACAAACATTGCAAACTAAACAATAAAGGGTATATTACTCCACTTTCAAATCTCTAATACCCATCAAAGTCGATTAAAGGTAAATATTCTTCTGTAGTGCACTGGTAAAATGACATACAAGACAGAATACTGTTCTCAAACATTCACCACCTGGAATATATTCATATTTTAGTTATGGTCTGAATAAGGCAGCATCAAAAGAAATATCTTAAATGAAAGGACATTTTATAAATGATAGGTCAAAGTCAAAGTGTGAACAGACCTTACTTGTTTCTGATCTGATTTGAACGTCCTCAAATAGTGCAAATATTTAGAATGTTAGAGCAGAGAAAGCTACATTTGACCCTCTCATTGCCTGGATATGGCTCATAGGACAGAATCTGTTTCACAGAGCAACTCAATTTGGCTGTGTCTAGACTGGTCAGTTTTTCCGGAAAATCAGCCGCTTTTCTGGAAAAACTTGCTAGCTGTCTGCACTGGCCGCTTGAATTTCCACAAAAGCACTGACTTCCTACTGTAAGAAATCAGTGCTTTTTGCGGAAATACTATGCTGCTCCCATTCGGGCAAAAGTCCTTTTGCGCAAAACTTTTGTGCAAAAGGGCCAGTGTAGACAGCTCAGCTTTGTTTTCCACAAAAAAGCCCCGATAGCGAAAATGGCGATCGGGGCTTTTTTGCGGAAAAGCGCATCTAGATTGGCACGGACACTTTTCCGCAAAAAGTGCTTTTGCGGAAAAGCGTCCGTGCCAATCTAGACGCTCTTTTCCGAAAATGCTTTTAACGGAAAACTTTTCTGTTAAAAGCATTTCTGGAAAATCATGCCAGTCTAGACGTAGCCTTTGTGAATATTTAGGTTCTACAGCATTTCGAAATCACTTGTATTATGAGCTGAGCTTTCTCAGTTTACTATGCTAACGTTTTTCATTTAAAGATCAAATTCATTTAAAATTGACTAAAATGATAATAAAATACAATATGTATCTAAGTAATTTACCAGTATTTTGGCTAATTCTATGAATTATGGGCCTAATCCAACTCCCGGTGAAGTGAATAGGAAGACTCCCATTGACTTCACAAAGAGTTGGATTGAGTTCTAAGAAAATGATCATTTAATCATAACTGTTAACTTCACATAGTGGAATTGATTTACAGGTCGAACATCTGTAATCTGGGACTCCTTGGTTCGGCAACATCCATCATGTGGCAGGACCATGGGTGTTCCAGGACCAGAGAAAGCAGGTGGCTGTGCCCCGTGTTGCTCGGCTTCCCAGCACACTGCAACTGGACAGTCAGGCACAACCCAGTGGACTGCCTGGAGGGGCCAGGAGCTCAGTGAGCTGCAGCTGGGCTACCCCACGGGGCCAGGAGCTCAGTGCTCCACAGTGGGGCTCCCCTATGGAGCCAAGAGCTCAGGGCTCTGTAGTGGGACAGCCCAGCAGCACCAGGAGACCAGTATGCAAGGAGCTGGGCTGTACGGCATAACAGGGAAGTGAGGCTGCTGGCAAGAGATAGTGGGTAGGAGGCTGCTGGTGGCAGTGGAGCCAGATGAGACATCCTCTGGTGCAGCAAAATCCCTCATTTGGGATCGTTAGGTCCCGAGGATGCTGGATCAGGGAGGTCCAACTTGTACTGAACTGGTCTAATCACCAGGAAGATTACTGAATTCTAATCTAGCCTAACTGAAATTGGTTGATTCTGCCTACAGGTTCACATTTTGACCTTTCTGAGGTTTAGCCGGAAAAGAGCCGGACTGTAACCAGATGCTGCTTCTCAGGTGAACTTTTCCATTAATATAAACTGGAAGTAACAAACCAACTCTGATTCTGTTGTTGTATTATTAGAATGAAAACCTAAAGAATTAACATGAAAATAAGTGTATGGTCAAACAAGATCAGATCAGGAATCACATGTCATTTTTCTAAACAATGCTTTATAAAGAAGATACATATACATATATTAAAAAAGATACTGTACAGTTTAAATTTGAGAATAATTACCTTCCGAATTAAGCCTTTTGTGGACATTATAATATACTCCCTCTATAACAGAGAAATATTAGAACGCTGTATAACCCTCTCCCCACATAAAAATAACTCCACTGTGCAGTGTCTTCTATGTATAGCTACTCTGCTTTTGGACCTATATTATGCTGGCTAGAAAGCATTTTTGGTAGAATTTATTTCATAATTAAAAATAGATCTTTTAATCAATCATCTTTGACAAAACCCCCAAAGATCAAATTTGAAAACAGATACGTTTGTAGTTGAAAAAGGTTTCTTCTGGTCACTATTTATACGTATCTAGATTCCATTGACTTCAGTGGGTTTTGGTTCCAGGCCATAGTGAACTACTTAATTCTGCTTTTTAAAGGACCAAAGGGAGGAAGACAGGTTTGAGAAACATTTAAACAGAATTGGATAACAAGCACTTCACTGGGAAGGATTCACAATAGTCACAAAGAAGAGTTGTTTTTGCTTTGATTTTTTTATTTATTTTATGAAAGAGCTCCCAAAGCAGGCTGCTGAAGCCAAAAGGAAAGGATAAATGTACTCAGTAGGGAAGTATTTTTTCATTTGTTTTATTCATACAAGGCTTTTTTTATTTCAACAAAACAAAATAGCCCCCAAACCTGTCATTCTGTTTTTATTAAGCAATGTTCTCACCCCCATGCTTCGACTTTGCTGGAGTTACTGCTTCCTGTTGGCAAAGACCAGCGTGAACACTGTCAGTATGTATGAAAACAGGATTCATGCTTCATAACAACATTCAGTTGATACTTACCTCATTTATAATGATCCAGTGACAGTCAAAAGCAACCAAATTAGTCTCCACGACCTGAAATAGAGAACAAAGCAGCTATCAGTCAACTTACTTATAAAAGCCAAATAAATAAATTGATAAATAAAATGAAATGGATTCTCTCTGCAAATGACACAAAAGGAGCACATGCTCTCAAAGACCTCTGTTATTCAGCTGAGTATAGAGAACCTTTAGCAAAATATTGCAGAAACATTTGTGTTATTGTTTCACTTGCTAATTAAAGATGGAAATACACTTCACTAGAGGCATCACGGAGGAAAATAGATTTCAGTTGGTTCAGAAGAAAATGAAATCAATTTTGCTTTTTCCTTGATGAGCATGAATCAGTGCATTCAGACATGATACCCCCTGTCTCTAGACTGGCCAGACTTCTAAATTTCCAAATCATGACACCTTCTCCATGTTCACCAAGTGTGTGGGAAGGAAATCGGGAGATTCTTTTTATGCAGATCAAAAGATCTAGGGATTATGTGAATGGAGGAATAGGTGGGAAAAAGAGATTTATCAATGAAAGAAAGAGCGGAATGTGTCATTGTGCAAGTTTTGGTAGACAACATATAAAGAATGACGTACTCTTGTCACTATTCTTACAACTCCTTTGCTGCCCCATCCACGTCTCTTCCACCCCCTTCTAGCTGTCACTGAAACAGATTCTATAAGCCGTCTTTGGGTTGGGCCCAGATGGCTATCTCCCCTTCTTTCTTGATTCTTCTGTGCTGTCATTCTTGACTTTATGGTCAAGACTCACTCAAGGAAGGAACAAAGAGAAGGAAGAATAAGAGGAGAGATTGGTGGGATAGCAGTGCTATACATCCAGTAAAGTAACTGCCTCTTAGACCCCACATGCCAATCCTAAGCCCCCTCCAACACTCCAAACCTGATGGCCTCAGACTGGAGACACTTCATCCCCAGCCTTGTTTATTTTGCTCAGTTACTTACATTTTTTCTTTTAATAAAATCGTAATAAAATCACTTTTATTTAGTAATAAACCCAGTGTAAGTACTTATGAGCTGTGGGGAACAAGGAACCTCTCTTTACACTGAAAAAGAGCACAAATTTCATGAACTTACACTGGGGTGGGCAATAATTTTTGATGGGGGACCATCAACATTTTCTTGGTAAGTGGTCAAGGGCCACACTTTTCTATGGAGAGCAGCGGGGTCTAGGAGGGAGGTTGGGTTCAGAAAGGAGTCTGGGGTAGGGACTGGCATGCAGAAGAGGGTATGGGGTTTGAGAGGGAGTTTGGAAGAAGCAGGGGGTTGTGACCTGAGGCAAGGGATTGGAGTTCAGGGTCTGGTAGGGGATATGGGCACAGGAGAGGATTCTGGCCTGAGGGAGGGGTATAGAAGGGGTGGAAGGTCTAGGAGAGAGTTGTAACCTGGGACCAGAGCAGGGAGGAGGGTGCAGAGGGCAGGAGATTGGGGTAGAGTGTCCAGAAGGAGGTATGGGTGCAGGAGAGGATTGTGGCCTGGGGAAGGGTTTATGAGAGGGTTCAGAGTCTGGCAGAGAGTTGGGGGCAGAAGGAGGTGGGATGCCAGAGGCAGGCTCTGGCTGGCATGTGCTTACCTAAGCAGCTCCCGGCCAGCAACACTCTCAGGCAGGCTTCCCTTCCAGCAGTCCTAGATTACTGACTGGCTGTGCACATGGCTCTCTGCACTGTAGGGAAGGAGGGTTTGCTTGTTGCCCCTCTCCTGCCCCCAGCAAAATCTATGAGGATGTATTGGTTTTGAAAACGGCCAATGGGACCTGAGAAACTGTGCTCATTGCCTCTGTGCCCAGCAAAATCTCTCTGCTCCCATTGGTCAGTTTCTCACCAATAGGAATTGAGAGATTTTGCTGGGGGTGGGAGAGGGAATGCTCTGAAGTGTTTCCCTCTCTGCAGCACAGAGAGTCTCTGGAATCAGCTAGCTGCTTTGAGTGGCACTGCTCACTGCTGCAAGAATGGGAGTGGCAGGCTGGATCGCCTGTACCTGGCTTACACTGTAAAGATATCTGTACGGCATGAAACAGATTTATTGGGGTTCAGCTCCCACAGGGACTGTGTACCTGAATGCTGGGAAAAGATCTCACATTCTACTGCTTTCAGTGTGTGTCTGCAGTCTTGGGGAGAGTGGCCCTGTCCCTGTGACTGAGTTGGAGCAGTCTGGAGAGCTAAGCTCAACAGGACAGGGTTACAGGATGTCCAGGCTGTCCAGGGAAGCATGCCCAGTGGTGCCTCAGCACAACAGTTCACAGTCCCAAGGATGTCCCATCACACACATGATGTTCTATTTCAAAACTGGTTTCTGACTTATTTAGATAATGCAGTCAGCTTTTTAACCTTCAGTCAACTAAGACATCTTCAGTAGGTCAAGACCTCTTAGGATTACTTTTTTTTAAAATTACATATGGACACAAATGAAACATTTACTTGTTCTACAAACACCAGTGACCCAGAAAGACAAAGTGAATGAGGTAATATCTTTCATTGGAACAATTTCTGTTGGTAGAGACAAGCTTATCACAGAGCTCCTCCTCAGGTCTGAGGCAACAACTAGAGTGGTCAAACAAAGTACAAGGTGGACAGACAGCACTCTCCTTACACATATGCAGAATATGCAGCTGCACAGGGAACCCGAAAATCTGGGGCACCATTGGGTCTTAAAGCCCACCCACCTGTTCTATGGCTCTGCTTATTCCAAAGAGGATCTGGTTAACTTAAGTAAAAAGAAGCTTACCAGACCTACTAGCAGAACACTGAATCTGTGAAAGAGCTATTCATGTAGTAAAGAAGCCATTTAACAGGCATTTGCCAAGTTTCGGTATATACTGTAAGACAGTTTCTAAATTTGTATTTGCTAGGACCTTAGTTTAAAAAAGTGTTTCTCAAAGTGGACGGCGGATCCACTCTGAGAAACCTGCTAACTGGCCACTGTGTTTTTTTGTATTTACCAGCTCTGCAGCCACACAACCTCGCGGCTCCCATTGGCCCCGGTTCACCTTTTGCACCCAACAAACTGGAGCCAATGGGAGCCATGAGGCTCCACGCTGTGGAGCTAGTAAATAAACCGACCCCAGCAGCTAGTCAGCAGGTTTCTCGGAGTGGATCCTCCATCCACTTTGAGAAACACTGGTTTAAAATTTGCTTTAAAATATTTCATTAGTGTGTTGCTGAAGATTATAAAAATCACATCTCGAAAACATTATCATCCCCTGCAGTAATATTTCCTCTGAATTTTTGGGGGATGAAGATGAATGTTTGGGTGGTTGTTAATGGGGGTCAGAAAAGTTTATGGAGAGTTTAGTTTCTTTTTGTGGGTTAAGTGATTCAACCTGGAGTCAGGAGATGTGGGTTCAATTCTTGGCTCTGCTACAGACTTCCTGTGTGACAATCTTTCTGTCGAAAATCCTGGATTCACTGAAATCCATGCTAAGGTCTCGTTAACTTAATCAGAGTCAGTATTTCACCCTCCTTGTAGAACTCTTCTAGCTGCAAGATGATGATGCCTGGTTTTGTATATTGGGTTGTAGATATAGATCTTGTTGTTATGGTAACTGAGTAGGTCACTGGGGTCAGCCCAGCTAGTCTGGGCTTGTTCTGGTGAGTTCTGTGCTATGCAATAAAATGGACACTTGCACCTACTCCAGCTCTCTGCCTTTCCACTGATTTCTTCCTATACTCTGAAACTCCCCACGACATAACACCTGGGTAGACTGAAAGTTCTTCAGGATAGGGGCTCTGACCTACTAGGCATGTGCATTGTGCTTAGCACAATGGGGTAGGCACTACTCTTTTCTCATCACCAACTATACTATTGATGCCTTTTGGAAATGCTTTTGTGTGCTTTTGCATGTCTTTTGGATATGCTTTTGTATGCTCATATGTGACCAAAATTTGGAGTTTGGGCACAACAGAAAGATTAAAATAACCCAATCAAACATTTTGTAGACTGTTCCTTGAGGAAATGTTTTGAAACTTAAAGGAATCTGACATTGAACAATGCAGCTTTCTAAAAGTGGTTGATAAAATAATATACACAATCTAGCATAGAACAGTTCTCTTGATCAGCAGTTATGAAGCACAAGTTTACAAGTTCATTATTATATTAGAACATTAAAAAAAAACCAAAGCTAGCAGTAACCCAGCCTAGATCCAATTATCTGTCAGTAAAACAGTCATTACTTGGACAAGGCATGCCTTTACAGCCATGACATAATGTTCCACAATGCCCTTGACTTTCTATTGAGTTTGCAGTTTTGTTCCTTTAAGGAGTAAATTGTATGTTCACTGAGGAGGGAAGACAGCAAATGAGAATGCATTAATGAACAAAGAGATATTAGAAACAAAGAACATTTTTAATTCAAATTAAACCTCAGTTCTCATAATTAAAAGGCCATGCAATAACTTCATGTATGCCATATAATCAAGCTGGTTTGAAATTATTTTTATTTCAGATGTATTCAAGCATGAATTAAAGTGTTTATTTGGCATTTGAGGGGATGGTCAACTAAAATAAGAATATGTTTCTTTGTGGTCTAGATAAACATCTCCATCCATACCCACTGAGCTAGCATTAACTCTTCATTTTGTAAAAGAGGGCAAAGGAACATCTAAAACAATACATTCCAATGAGAATGAGGGCAGTAATTAAAAGGGACCTGATACCTGCAAGTTAAAGGCAATAAAAACAAACTGGTAGGAGGCACCCAGAAGTTAGAGAGTTTTAATAACGCAAATCTTTGATTATGGTGCAGCTTTGGAATTCATATGCACATATTACTGCCTTTGTGACACAAAGTAGTGCTCTGCACACATAAAAGGTACAAACTGGAAATTTCCATATGAGACAGAAAGCAGGTGATAGTGTTGTTTATGCAACTCACATCATAGGGTAAAATTGAGCTAACCTACAGTATGAATTCATAATGAGAGCTGGAAAGCGCATGAAAAATGAAATCCTTCACAAATATTAAATGAAACAAATTAACTCTTTTCTAGCTACAGACGGATCTATACACATACGTAAACAATGTC